TAGGAGATTTCTTCCATTAGTTGGGGGGATGGCAGCCACTGTGGCCATGTTACCAGGACATTAGCCTCTTTGGGGAGACTATCCGAGAGAAATTCTAGCTAGGATAACCAAAAGAAAATACTGTCCCTCCTCTCTCATATATCAGAACCTATGATGCAAAGGCCAGATGTCTATGGACATATGAATGGGTAAAGAAGATGAGGTATAAGATGTAGTGAAAATAAGGGCCATATGCACCACAATGTTCATAGCAGCAATGTCCGCAATAGCCAAACTGTGGAAAGAGCCGAGATGCCCTTCAACAGACGAATGGATAAAGAAGATGTGGTCCATATATACAATGGAATATTACTCAGCCATCAGAAAGGATGAATACCCAACTTTTACATCAACATGGATGGGACTGGAGGAGATTATGCTAAGTGAAATAAGTCAAGCAGAGAAAGTCAATTATCATATGGTTTCACTTATTTGTGGAAGATAAGGAATAGCATGGAGGACATTAGGAGAAGGAAGGGAAAAATGAAGGGGGGGGGAACCAGAGAGAGAGATGAAGCATGAGAGACTATGGACTCCAAGAAACAAACTGAGGGTGTTAGAGGCGAGGGGGTGGGGGATGGGATAGCCTGGTGATGGGTATTAAGGAGGCCATGTACTGCATGGAGCATTGAGTGTTATACGAAAACAATGAAGCATGGATCACTACATCAAAAACTAATGATGTACTGTATGGTGACTAACATAACAAAATAAAATTTAAAAAAAAAGATGTGGTATACACACACACACACACACACACACACACAAACAGTGGAATATCACTCAGGCATCAAAAAGAATGAAATCTTGTCATTTGCAATGACATGGATGGAACTAGGGGGTACTCTGCTAAATGAAATAAGTTAGTCAGAGAAAGACAAATACCATATGATTTCACTCATGTGTGGAATTTAGGAAACAAAGCAGATGAACACAGGGGAAGGGAAGGAAAAATAAAATAAGATGAAAATAGAAAGGGAGGCAAACCATATGAGAGCTGAACTCTAGGAAGCAAACTGAAGATTGCTGGAGGGGAGGTGGGTAGGAGGAAGGGACAACTGGGTGATGGGCATTAAGGAGGGCACCAGATGAGCACTGGAAGTTGTATGCAATGATAAATCACTAAATTCTACCTCTGAAACTAATAATGCAGTATATGCTAACTTGTTTGATTTTAAAAAGAATAAAAACAACACAAAACAAAAAAACAATCTTGAATGACTTCACCAGATCTCTGTGGATGCAGAACGCATTGAACAGACCAATGTTCACTTTGTTTATTGCTTTGGAAGGAGAATACAAAAGAATAGGGTGACTTTACAGATACTGAGGAATAACAGATGGGGAACTCTTTTTTAATGCTTTCTGTAAAAACAGTATTCCTGAAATAATTGAGCCACAGAAAATATAAGAATCTACAGTGACCAGGTACCCACCACCAATCTTAACCCTTCAATCAATATCAGAGCCATTTAAATCTCTTCCCACATTCCATGTCTTCTCCCTCCTATTCCCCCAAATTCCTATTCCTGAACTTGAAGAATATTCTCTTTAATGCTGATAAGCTGTTATTCTTCTTTACTCTCTTTAAATTATAATATACCTTTATTTCCAAAATATATTACGGACTGACCATCCTGAGGAATCAGGCGTACCTGTGAAGTCTGAACACTCTTGTTCATCAGATAGTAGTGTAAAAGTAGTAGGAGGAAATACAGTCTTGTTAAGGCCACACATACCATGTAAACCTTGAAGAAGGTGTTAACAACTTTGATTTGAGACGGTACTGCTTGTCAACTTCCTATAGTCTAGAAAAATCACTAGAGGAAGCTAGGGGGCGTGTGGGGGGAATAAAGGTAGCTCACTCACACACACCCTGACATATTGTGGTTCTGGAAAGGTGCAGTGTAGGGATGTTACTAGATTTGATGTGCTAGGCAATTTATCTACTGTCCCCACTAAGAACATGAAGGAAAAACAGATCTCAAGGTCACATGTTCAGCCTGAGACTGAGGTCGTGCGGCATCCAAACTAATGGTTCTTCCCACTACTCAAAGTCCTCAAATATTTTATGCTGAGGATCCTGTTCCTCATGTGATTTCTTACCCAGGAAGCCTAGAGGTACAAACAATAAAAAAAAATACTCAGCTTGATTGGGGCCAATGTCTTCCCACCACAGAGCCCCTGAGGCCTCTCTGAGAAACCTAAAGGACTGTGCATGAGCACGGTCTCTGTGTCTCTGTCTCACACAACATACTCACATTCACACACATCTCACACACTTCCATGTACTCACAAACACTTAGCACAAGGACATCAGGATGGCCCATATACTTCTTTTTTTTTTTTAAGATTTTATTTATTTATTTGAGAGAGAGAATGAGAGAGAGAGAGAGAGCACATGAGAGGGGGGAGGGTCAGAGGGAAAAACAGACTCCCCGCTGAGCAGGGAGCCCGATGCGGGACTCGATCCCGGGACTCCAGGATCATGACTTGAGCCGAAGGCAGTTGCTTAACCAACTGAGCCACCCAGGTGCCCCCCATATACTTCTTAACACATAGGTCATGTACATTACAATTCAGAGTCTCTGAAATAACCCTTGAAAGCCATGACTACACTTGAACCAAAATGTTTGGATCAGAGTCTTTTGATATGGAAGCTCTACAAGTTGTTCATGCTTCCTGCACCTATGTTTCCTGTCCTGAGCTATCAGTCCAGAAGGGTCTACAGTCTCACTCAGTTATACAGAGAAGCCACAGGTGGCCACTCTGCCCCCTTGGGGATGTGGTCAGTGGGTAGGACAGGCTTGGAGAAAAGGGACTGGTTGCAGCGTCCACATCTAGAAATTTACTACAAAAACCTTTTACTCCCTATCAGGCTTCCCTCATATAAACAGGTCAATATTTTCACAGCTGATTCTAGACTTCCTGAGACAGACAATTCAGAATAGAAAAGAGGTCATCACTTCATCACTAACAGTCTACAGAAAGTTAGTAGAGTTTCTCCATCTACTGTCTTCACTACAGATACATAAGAAAATGGTCCCAAGCCCCTGTGAGTAAAGGCAGCTGCCTTTCTGGTATACCAGTTACCCAGTATGGGTCCCTCTGCCCCATCTTATTTTATTTCATATACTTCTGTGTTTTGCAATTTTCAGTCATGAACATGTATTATTTTTAGTATTACATAGGCAGATAATATTTTTGAAAATAAAATAAATTCTAGTAGTGCTAAGTCATAAATCTCTCAGAAGTGCTTACTAAAACATTTCAGAGGTAGGTTTCTTTTATTTTTATACTCTCATTGTTCTAGATGAAATGAAGAACTGGAACAACTGACCTGTTTCTAAAAGGTGTTCAACTTAGAAGACCCCTACATTAATAAGACAGTTTCCATAACTCCTTTTAATTATCTCTAAAGATTACCAACGAGAGCCATGCATTATCTTTTTATTGATTTTTTGTGGCACTGCCATCCTTGGTGGGAGGGAGCTCAGAGTTCAGTGATGAGGACAGCCTTTCCTGGATATTTACAGTTAGAAAAGAGAGTTTTGTAATTTTCTTGAATCTTATTGCGGTATTACATTTTCATAAAGTTTAAAGTATTCATTGTAATATAAAAATAGTAAACTATTTACACGTCACTACAAGTTCATTGTTATAAATACTAACTATATTTTCAAAAAAGCATTAGTGAGAAATGTGTCAATGCTTTACATTTTTAACAGCTTTATTGAGATACAATTCACGTATCGTACACTTCACCCATTTCAGGTATACAACGCAGTGGACTTTAGTAATGGACAGAGTTATGGAACCATCACTGCTTCAAGATTAGCACAGTCATCAGCCCAGGGAGATCCTGTGCCCTTAGTTATCAGCCCTCTGTTCCCCCATTCTCTCTGCCCCAAGCAACCACCAATCTACTTTCTCTCACTACATTTCCTTTTCTGGACATTCCATATATAGAGAGAATCATAAAATAAATGGTCTCTTATACTGGTCTCTTTATTTCAGATAATGTTATCAAGGTTCATCCATGTTGTAGCATGGACTTCATTCCTTTTTTTTTTTTTAAAGATTTTATTTATTTATTTGAGAGAAAGACAGAGAGAGAGCATGAGCAGGGGGAAGAGACAGAGGGAGAGGGAGAAACATACTCCCTGATGAGCAGGGAGCCCAAGGGGTCCATCCCAGGACCCTGAGATCATGACCTGAGCCGAAGGCAGACGCTTAACCGACTGAGCCACCCAGGTGCCCCTGGACTTCATTCCTTTTTATAGCATCTCATTAACATGTCACTTTTCCACTCCCCCTTTCCATGACCATATTGCCAGGCAGTTTGTCACTGCTCCTGAGATGATGAAATCCCAAACCTAGAGAAAAAAGCATGCAACTCAGCCCATCGAGGTGATATGTTTATACCTGCTACAGCAGAGTGTCAGCCTAACCCAATGCAGTCTGTTCTCGTTCAAATGCCATCAATAAACTGCTCAGCTCTTTATTTGTTAATAGACACTTGTTCATAGCACACTGACCTAGTGACCACAAGATCTTCAGGTGGTCCCAAAGGGGACCTATGAGGAAAAGTGGCTCTCTACTCATGATTACACAGAGTGTCTCCTTATATTCTGCTTAGCATGTTCCTGTATATGGCACTTTCTTCTCTTTATCGAACATCTGGACACTTCCCAGTCCATGAGATCATTTTCTGACATACACTGAGACATTATGGGTAAAACAAGTTTCAAAACTGTACCATGTCCTTCACTTACAGAGGCAGTCTTCATTAATACTCATAGCAAACTGGTAATTGTCTCCCAAATGAACAAAATACTAGCAATTTTGGTATTCATCATCCTAATGCATGCCATTCTACATGACTCTCTATGTTGTATTTTAGGCATAGTGGTGAATGTGTCTAACATAATGAGCTGTATCTAACATAATGAGCTTCGTAGCCCTTAAAAAAGTGCAGCCCAGAACTGCACCAGGAGATTATAAGCAAGACTATCACAGAGGAGGAGCTAGTAGGGCTCATTTACAAGTATGTGGAAGACACAAAGAAAGGCGTGCACAGAAGAGGGCTGGCCTGATACCACTTATGGAGTGATAAAAATCAGTTTATCAGTCCTGTCCAGACCAGGAAACTGAGCAGAGGAAAGGAGACAAGATCCTCTTGAATGCCTGCTGCCTTGGGTGGGTGAGAACAGACATGGGTGGACCAAAAGGCATCAAAAGCCCAGAAGGAGCAGAGACCCCCATCCAGTTGACCCTTTTGCCCTTGGATGCTGAGAGGCCTCATGGAGAATTGTTGTTGTTGTTTTTTTAATTTTATTTTATTATGTTATGTTAGTAAATACCCAGAAGTGCAATTGCTGGGTCATAGGGTAGCTCTATTTTTTAATTTTTTGAGGCACCTCCACACTGTTTTCCATAGTGGCTGCACCAGCTTGTATTCCCACCAACAGTGTAAGAGGGTTCCCCTTTCTCCACAACCTCTCCAACATTTGTTGTTTCTTGCCTTGTCAGTTTTTGCCATTCTAACTGGTGTAAGGTGGTATCTCAATGTGGTTTTGATTTGAATTTCCCTGATGGCTAGTGATGATGAACATTTTTTCATGTGTCTGTTAGCCATTTGTATGTCTTCTTTGGAGAAGTGTCTGTTCATGGTCTTCTTTAGAAGCAGTAGAACCTTCGGGGCACCTGGGTGGTTCAGTCGGTTAAGCGTCTGCCTTCGGCTCAGGTCATGATCCCGGGGTCCTGGAATCAAGTCCCACATCAAGCTCCCTGCTCAGCAGAGAGCCTGCTTCTCCCTCGGCCTCTGCCCCTGCTTGTGCACTCTGTGTCTGTCTCTCTCTTTCTCTCCCTCTCTCAAATAAATAAATAAAATCTTTAAAAAAAAAAAAGGAAGTAGTAGAACTTTCTTAGACAGGACAGGGAGTCCTGTCCTGTCCTGTTGCATCCACCTGGGTAGCATTTAACTCTGTGTTTATTTCTGGGCTGATCTCGGACCTTTCCCTTTTAGTTAAAAGGACCAGGATGGACCAGGGAACTATGGCCACTCCAGATTTAAGTAACCTGGCAAAGCAGCTTGCTGGCACCCTAGATAAGTCACGTAGAGGAGGGATTGCTGAAATTTTTAACGTTCAACTCCGGCAAATGAAGGCCCCTAAACAAAACGGAAAGACTAGTTTCTGCTATTATTGCAAGGTACCAGGACACTGGGAAAGAGATTGTTACACTCTTCAGGCACGTGCTTCAGGCACCTTCAGCCCACTAGCCACCCTTTCCCATGTCCCCCTGATCTCCAATGATGGGGTTCTGAGGGACTACAGGGGCTCTTCCCCATCCTCCCTCTTAATCAACTAGGGCAAAGCACTCCCCAGATTGGGAATGAACCTCTCTCTATCCTTACTGACACAGGACCTACACTCTCGGTGCTTAACCTCCCCACTATAAAGCAGCCCCTGCCTCAGAGTACGAGAACAGTTCAAGTAGAGGGGTCTCTAATAAGCCTCAACAGGTTCCTGTCTCTGAACTTCTTCCCTTGTGTCTAGCCCCTTTGACAGACACACACCCTTTGCTTCTCGTTCCCCTGCCCCTATCCGTTTACTGGGCTGGGATGTCTCAGGTACGTATCATACCAGACTTACTCCTCAAAGCAGGAAGAAATTATAGAATTTGACAATAAGAACCAAAATGGCCAACAAGGGGAAATAAGTGACCCTTGGGCATCTTTCCTATGCTGTGTCTCTGATGGCAACATAACCGGGTCTGAGGGTGCTGATCATTCATTCCTATTAGATCAGCGGCCATGGTCTTTCCATGGGAAAAATCGTCAACTGATATTGGCAGACTCCACAGTGTACCTCCCATCAAGATTCAAATAGATCCCTCAAAACCTCTCCCCCAAATTACTTAATACCCTATGAATAAAGGAGACCTTCAAGGCATCAATCCCATAATAGATTACAAGGCTCAGGTCCTCATCGTCCCGTGCGCTAGCCACTGTAACACACCTGTTTCACCTGTGAAAGGATCCCAACAGCTGAGGATGGAGGTTTGTCCAGGATCTCCGAGCAACAGGTAACATCGTTATCCCTCAGCACCCTGTTGTTCCCAAGCCTGGAATGCTACTGACATCCATGCCCACGGAAAGCACATTTTCCCCCCTGTAATTACCCTAAGCAGTGCATTTTTTTAGTATTCCAGTTGATAAGGATAGCCAATAACTTTTTGCCTTCACTTGGGAAGGATGGCAATCCACCTGGACCGTAATGTCCAGGGTTCACAGGACAGCTTCCACCTGTTAAAACTCTTGGCCATCAGGGGACATAAGTTTTCCAATGAAAAAAAAACTGCAGTTTACCCAGACCTGGGTTAGATACTTAAGGCACCAGATTTCAAAATGAGGACTACATTTGGAGCCTGATGAATCCTCTCAAGACTACTAGCTACTGACAGGTTACGTTTGACTCCCCATGACAATTTATAGGAAACTCCTCTAAGCAAAGCAAATTTTTCGTGGTTTCCTGATGGTTCTTATTTAAAGAACGAAGATGGTAAATATCTTGCCGGTGTGCTATTGCAACTCCCTTAGAAGTCACTTTGCTCCCGAAGGACTTTTGGGAGTAAATGAGTACTCAGAGAGTACAGAGAAAGAAAAGGCCGGAGAAGCAGGATCACTTAGGAAGGTTGCAGTGATTCAGAAATGACAGGCGAGTGTCTGTTGTAGAGCTGGGATGGAGGAGAGGGCTGGGGACTCAATTTGTAGGACAACCCTAGGACCTGGTCAGTGATAATCAGGAGCTGAGCATGGTGACCTCCAGCATCCTGGTGGGTGGATTGGGGTCTGGGGTCAGGATGATTTTGGGAAAGTACAAGAGTCACCTGGAAATGTCTTAGATGTTTGGATGGGGATGCGGGTGGGAGTGTGGAGGGGTGAGATTTGGAGAGACATGGGAGGTCATCAGGAAAAGGAGAGGCAGCAAAAATATCTATGTGTATTTAGAGCTCTGGGAATGTTCTAGGCAGGTCACCGATTTTAGGGCGGGACTAAGTTTGAATAGTGAGGAGTCTACTAGTCTGAATAAAATTCCTGGGAGAGAGGGGTGGGGAGAGGGAGAAGGGTCCAGGAAGGAATCCTCAGGGTCCTGCACCTGTGAGTGGCAAGGACCGAGTAAAAGGCCTCTCTGAGGAGAGATTTGAAGGCGAAGACCGAGGCAGTGGTGAAGGGCCAGCGGGACAGAGGGCAGTGCTGACTGCAGGACGAGCATGTGAGAGTCCTGAGGCAGAGGGGTATCTGTCCGGGAGGAGAGGGGCCAGGGGTCTGTAGATGAGGTCAGGGAGGCCAGGGGCCAGATCATGGCAGAACCACCACAGCTTGGGCCCCTGATCTGGCTCACCTTGGGGTTTCATTAGAGGCAACAGTTCTGTGCACACATCTCGGGTACCAGAGAAGTTTGTTTTCATGGTCACTTCTGCTTGAATATGAAACGGTGTGGGATCATCAGCTTCCCGGGGAGAAAGAGAGTAGCGTTAATAATAGTGTTGTGGGAAAATTCCACAGAATGATGTATGTTCAAAAAGTGCATGTGAAGTCTGGTGATTTTGTGTAAAATTGGCATCTAGTTTACAGTCTTGTGACACTGACAATTTTCTCATTTGATAATGCTGTAGTGGTAGAAGATGGCACCACTGGGGGAGGCTGGGTGAAGGGGTGGTGCACACATGGGATTTCTTGTCAACCAATTTGTGCAGTTTTCTTGTTTATTTCAAAATGCGGTAAAAATAACCCAGTTGCCTTAAAATCCAATGAGAGAAACTCACTGACAATCTGGAAAAAAATCCCCGGGAATCGGAGGAAGCACAAAGGTCACTCTGGCTGGTAAGCGCTGCAATTTCTGTTGGACTCTGCCGGAGCCCCACCCCGTCCCTCCATCCCTCCTCCTGCCCTAAGGAGCCATTTTGGATGCCACAGGCCTTAGGAGCCGGACCGCATGGATTCCCCGACAGACGGAGCCCCCCCGGGCTGGAGGAGCTCAGGAGGTCCACCTCCCCTTCTAGCTCCCATCCCCTCACTCTTGAAAGCAATGCCCGCGTTGTTGACCAGCACGTCCAGTCCCCCGTACTCCTTGCGCAGGAAGTCGCGCAGGGCGCGGATGCTCTGCAGGTCGTCGATGTCCAGCAGGTGGAAGCGGGGACTCAGGCCCTCGGCCTGGAGCTGCTGCACGGCCGCGCGGCCCCGCGCCTCGTCCCGCGCCGTGAGCACCACGTCCCCGGAGAACTGCCGGCACAGGTCGCGCGCGATGGCGAAGCCGATGCCCTTGTTGGCCCCGGTCACCAGCGTCACTCGAGTGGCTGACGACATGGCTGTGTGCGGCACGCCCTACTTATATCCAAGTCCTGTGGTGTACAGGTGGGAGGAGGGTTTTGAAGCCCTTTCTCAAACTTAAAAGAACTCGTCAGGGTCCGTCTTATTTTCCCCACTTTAAAGTGAGGAAATGGATCCTCAGAAATTTCGTAAATTAGTTCAGTGTTAGGAAATGATTTTTCTTCCTCTTATTTCCTATTTACAACAGAGGAATAGGGGACTATAAAATCAAATCTCATTTGTGTACTGTCCCGCGTGGGAGCCACAGCCACTAGTGGTTATTTAAACATAAATTTAATAGAAATAATACAATTTAAAATTCAGTCTTTAGTTGCATTAGTTATATTTCAAGCACTCAGTAGTCACATGTGTTAGTGGACACTGTATTAGACAGTGCAGATCTATAGTATTTCTGTCACAATAGAAAGTTACAAGCAATGCTTTAGATAGATTCCAATTATGTTGCAATTTCAAGGTGGGTTTCCAAGCAGTTGCAAAAAAACAAAACTAACACTCTGGGAAAGACCTTTGCTTTCTTTGACCTAAATTTTTATTGAGATAATTGCAGATTCACATGTAGTAGAAAAAAAAACCCAAAAAAACCCCCCCAGAAACCCCAGAGATTCCTTATACTTTACTCAGTTTTCCTCATGGTAATATTTTGCAACACTATAGTACAATATCATAATGAGCATATTGACATCAAAACAATCCACCAATCATATTCAGATTTCCTCAGTTTTACTAGTACTTATTGTTTATATTTGGATTTATACAATTTTACCACATATAGGTTTGTCTGTCCACCACTACAGTCATCAGCACAAGGACCCCCAAGTGTTGCTTTTTTATAGCCAAACATATCTCTTTTGCCCCCCACCCCCCATTCCCACTGCCTGGGAACCAGTAATCTGTTCCTCATTTTAAAAATTGTTTTAAAAATGTTACATAGATGG